AAAATTCCTGGAGTTATATAGACAATATTCTCTTCTCCTGCTTGTCTGTCAAATGTATATTTAAATAAATGCTTAACTTTCATAGTAAATGCAAATAGCAAAATTTATAATTTTGGGCTACTTCAACTGGGTAAACACTAATGTGCCAATCACTACTAATGATTTGGCTCTGCGCTTCAAGATGCTTTCTGAAAATTCTACGGCTAAGAAATGTAACACCTGAACCAGAGCAGGTTATTAGCTGGTTAAGTAATGTTGTTGGCTAGCTCATAGATTTAATCCCTTATTGGTAAAGAGCCTCAGTGATTATAACACCACTAAATAAAATGCAGGATGGATATCTCTTCTGTACTAATAATTGGCAGGTTGCAGTATAATCTTACTCAGAATCTATAATCACTGTGTGGTTTGAGCAGGCATGGCCCCCATGGATTCTTGTGTTTGAATGCTTGACCCATGGGAAGTAGCATTATTAAGAGGTGTGGCATTGTTAGTGTGTCACTGTGGAGTCAGGCTTTCAGGTCTCATACATGTTCAAGCCAAACAAAATACTTGGCTGCCTAAGGATCAAGATGTAGACCTCTCAGGTCCTTCTCCAGCACCATGTCTGTCTGCATGCCATCCACCATGATGATAAGACTAAAACCTCTGAACCATAAGCTCACCCCAATTAAATGTTTCCTTTGAAAGAAATGCCATGGTCATAGTGTCTATTCACAGCACAGAAACCCTATGTAAGACAATCACTATCCAAAGGATACCTTTCTAAGATCTTTAAAACATCCTCCGTAGGTTTTGCCTAAAATTACATCTAAAACTCTTATAGAGAATACTTTTTAATGCTTTTAAAATTGGCTTTTCGGGGCTGGAGAGATGGCTCAGCGGTTAAGAGCATTGCCTGCTCTTCCAAAGGTCCTGAGTTCAATTCCTAGCAACCACATGGTGGCTGACAACCATCTGTAATGAGGTCTGGACAGAATATTGTATGCATAATAAATAAATAAATATTTAAAAAAAATAAAATTGGCTTTTCAAAGACAAGAGGTCCTATATTTTATATAAAAATTCCGCATACTCCACAGAAAATATTTTACCTCTAAAGTTGCTACTATTAATCAACTTTTATGAAGTATTTTCCAAGCACTGAATACTTTGAGTAGCCTCACGTATAAATTATCACGTGAAGCATAGAAATATCTCTGTTCTCTATAAACTCTTAGTCTCAGGATTAATAAATTTATCAGGTATGTTGAAAAAAAAGTAACAAAAATTTAGCTTAAAGCTTATAAAAATAGGCGGATAGTTAAATCTACAAACAGGAAATTTTAATTTACTGCAGTATATAACACATATGATTCAACTCTTGTTTAGGAAATAAGTTTATTATATAACACTGCAAAAAAACAGAAGGTTTTAAAAAGTAGCCATGTGATTTTTCCTCCATCTTGACGAATGACCTCATCAGGATAAAAACCACCATGTAGTTAGCAGCCATCTTTAGAAAGACTGAAGAACACCTGCCATGTGACCTCACCACCGCTTAGATTAAGAGGACTATGATGGATAAAACCAACCAAGGCCGCACCTGTGCACTTTAGTACACCCGTCCTCTTTAGGAATTACTAAGCTTTGTAGTAAAAAGCAGGTACCGATGGTATTTTAGATTGGGATGGATTTTTTTATACCATTAAATTCAGAAGCATATAATGATATATTCGAACTAAGAAAAACCTGACTGAAAGATGTATGTCTAACAATTCATGTCTTTGTTAAGTGTACATTTAACCATTTATTTTTGTTAACACTAGACTTCTAAAACTTTTAAAATAAAAAACAACATATATATTCCTTATGTCTATTCAAGCTAGCAGAAACCAACTTAAAGACATATGAGCAGCATCTTTGTCTTTACAAATTATATTTATAGTTTAAAGTTTTACTTTAATGCTAAGAGAGCTTCAATTCAAAATTTAAGGCTCAAGTTTAACAGGGATAATACTGTGAAATGTTCATCTTATAGAAGCTACTAATTTATTGTAAATTGTGAAAGATAATTAAAACATTCAAGTACATTGTCAGTCGCCTTATAAAAAAGTCAAGTCTTCCATGTGCTTAAAACAATCTTTGTAGTCAAGCTCAGCACAAATGTAATTCGTTTATGAGAATAACATGTAGTCTTCTATACATGTTTTCATATAGACAAGTAAGTAACTACAAAGAAAGTTTGTTTAAAATTAGGCATACTTAATAGATGGTCCTCAAAATCAATAGAGATATACTGAATATGACATCGAAAATATGTAATAATTAACACAGAAGTAATCTGAATTATACTGACTGTTCTAATTTATCCTACTCTGATCTCTGATTTTGACAGAAAACTGTAGAATTATCAGTTTAACAGCAGCATTAACAAAATAAATACATAACATGCCTCTAATAGCTAAAATATAATATTAATACTCATATGTCACAAAAATTTAAAATAACAATGTAATCAGACTTAAGATGGAATTTTAAAAACTAATAAGAAGTAAAAGGAATTTATAAAAGATTTAAAAGTATTTCCTCTGGGCAATGTGATGCTTAAGAAATGCAAAGTTAATGGAATGTTTTATATATTTTCTTAGAGGTCAAAAAGGCTGAAGAGAAATTACAAGTATTCGAAGTTATAATATCTTCAAATTTTCACCTATAAAAATTTTGGAACAGCCTGAGAAACTGTTCTATCTGACTACCTTTAGATTGTAGTGAAAACAAATGCTTTCCAGCTAATTTTTCCTCCAAAGAATAGTTATGCATTGGGATTGTTCATTTTTTATAGTTTACAATATCAGCTGCATATATACTTGAATGTTTACTTGAAAAAAATTATTTTCTGCTTCAGAATTGTCTGTTTCTTTTTCACAACTTCTATGTATCCTGTTACCTAATACGAGAGAATGCCTGAGCTCCAAATTGAAATTGTACAAAATATTAAAGACTTATAAGTGATCAAACTATGGCAAGAGAGGTGATTTTTAAAAAGGCTCACAGACACGTACCTTCTAAGAAAGGAATCATTTTCTATAGTATAAAGGCATTATTCTATTCCAAGCTTCTAGTGCACAACTAGTAATAAAGAGACGTCAGCTTGATGTCTGAAACTACGTCTGTCTATGTACGGACCTATCTCTGCGGTCAGTTTTGCAGAGATCTGTGATAAAATTCACTAGGGGCATGGATAGCGCCTCTCACCGACTAGTCAGCTACAGGGCGCAGTACAAAGGTTTGAGAGCTCCAGTAAAATAACCGTCGTGTCGTATCTGGAAATTCACTTTGTCAAATAACACTACCCACGTCCTTCCTAGGTCTCTCATTATAACCAAATACTAATACAGTGCAATAGGGACCAGAAACTGCACTCCCTTCTGTAGACCAATGAGAATCCTGACTACAGCCATTCAGAGTGAGTCCGCTGGTAGCAGCAGGCTTCCCCGGAGGAGCTGGACAGTGAGCTCCCTGCAAAGCCTCGGGGGCGCAGCCGACCCGCCCTGTCCGGGAGCGAGATCCCGGGAGGACTGGAGCACCAGAGGACCCAGCACCGACCCCATCGCCCTCTCCCTAGCGCGGACCTAAATCCTGACTCAGTGGAGCAGCCTAGGTTGGAACAGCACCTCCAAAGTGAGCTTCTTCCTGCTTCTCATGGCCCCGTGCCCACTCCTTCCACGATGGACCTACCGGCTGCCCCTGCACGATCCCTCAGACCTGCTGGGCTGCCCTGCACCCCGAACCAACCTGCGCTCAGAGATCCAACCGCAGCCTTGTAGTAAGAAACTTCACTCAGAATTGGAGGTAAGCGAATGAGGTTGGAACATGCGTAGAAGCAACTCAGAAGGCGACTGGGCGATCCTTGCTTGTGACGTCACAATGAATTGGACTACACTTCCCATAAGTCTATGTAACTGAGTTTCCTGTAGTCGCTGGATTGAAATGTGAAACTTCTGCCGCTAGAGGGACACATGCCGCGAGTCAGGCTGCATTAAAATCCTCAGCTTGCAAACTGAGATGGTTAGGTGTGAGTGGAGACCTTACAGTAATGTTTATTACTTTTATTAGTTATTTTTAGTCACGTTACTGTGATTTCACACAACGATATGCTTATTATAAACACTTACTACAGAGTAAAATATTAATTTCGACTCTTTTTTTCTTTGAGATAATTACAAGTATCTCACATGGGAAAGTCACTGCTAAGATTTTGAAATGAATTCTGAGCAGAGGCGTGGTGGCAGCCACTTGGTGTCTGCCTCTTAAGAGCAGAGGACCATGAATCACAGTTCCAGGGCTGCCTGATCTAACAGAGTGAGTTCAAAGCTGTTCTGGGCAATTTAAGAAAGGCTTGTATATTCTGTGAGATGGTGGTGTATGCACTGTTCATTTATGCAGAAAGGTGGATCTTTTGAGTTCAAGGGCAGCGTGGTCTACAGCACGAGTTCTAGGACCACCAGGGCAACCCAGAAAACCCTGTGTTAAAAAAAAATAGAAAAAAGAAATAAAGGAAAACAGAAAAACCACCTGGTAGATGCCTCTTATGAGAAGAGGGCTAGGTCAAAAAAGGAGGAAAAAAGAAAGAAACAAGGAAGGAAGGAAGGAAGGAAGGAAGGAAGGAAGGAAGGAAGGCAGGCAAAGAGAAAAACAAGCCTTTTATTAAAATGGAAAGAACAAAAAAGAATAGGAGGTAGCTGGGTGATGTGTCAGATTCTATGAAGTCAGCAGGACCTTGGTTTTAGAGCACAACACTAAATTCAGCAACACAAGAGAACTAAACAACATCTTGTGGGGCTGGAATATGGAGAACACATTCTGCTGTTGCAGGGTTACCATCGGGGAGTTTTGATCACTTCTGGTTTGTTGTTGTTTCTCTGCCAGATGAAGAATTCAAAGGTAAATATTTCAACTGCAACATGTAGCATCAGGGGAAAACACCAAACAACAGGGGAGAATTCACAGGAAAAGAAGGGTTTTTATTAGGGCTGAGAAAACACAAACACAGCAGGGCAGAAGGAGGGAACCTCTGCGGAGCTGAGGCACCTTAGGGGCCCGAGTCCTGTCTCTGCAGGCAGGGCTTTGGAGGGTTTTTGAGGAATCTTCCTCTCCGTGGTTGAGTTGTTGAGTATGGTGAAGGTGATGGTAGACTTGGGGTGAAACAGTCTTTATCCTTGAACTTTTGTGTTCTCATTTCTCTTTAGTACCCTACAGATTACCCTCCTCCACCAAAGAGACTAGAACAGAGAGGTAAAGGCTCAGTGTACGAAGGTGCTCAATTTTCCATGTCCGATTAAACGAGTAGATGACCTCAGTGATGGAACTCCACTATCAGTTTATAGAGAGAAATCTTTTGTCGTAGCATCAGCCTAGGATGTTTTGGGAATTTCCATGGGATCCATTTAGGAAAAAAGTTAATTGACTGTTACCCAGTCCCTTCAATTTAATCATTTCATTGTGCAACGGATGGTCAATTGAGATCTCATATGGCTCATGATTAGGAATCCTGAATAGGATTTCTTCACAGTTTTCGGAAGTTCTGACTGTAATAGGTTTCCACAACCTAAAACAAAATGCTCCTCAATTCCAGCTCTCTCTCTACCCCTCACACCTGACCCCTCTTGTTTTGGTCCCCACCAGTCTTGAGTCCATCTGGAAAATCTATTTTATTTCCCCTTCCCAAGGAGTTTAGTACATCCCCACAGACGACTCCTCTCTACATCTATAGGTTGAAGCTTTATTATCATTTATTTAATGGATAACATGCACTTATAAGTGAATACATACCATATTTGTCTTCTATAGGTTTTTCTCTCAGGATGTTGTGGGAGCTGCGGGCCTGCTTTTGATCCCACCCGGCTCCCGCACAGCTAGCTTTACACCAGAAATAACAACACACAAATTGTATTCTTTTAAACACTGCTTGGCCCATTATATCTAGCCTCTTCTCGGCTAACTCTCGCACCGGGACTAGCCCATTTCTAATGTGTGTAGCACACCAAGGTGCGCTTACCGGGAAGATTCTAGCCTACGTCCATAGCACCAAACAATGATGCAGCAGGGAACCATGACACACACTTCCCACTTCCAGGGTTCTTCTGTCTAGAGAGTACTGATGGAGAATTGATATCCTTGCCACACTTTACAATTTTAATGTCTTTCTCCTGTATGAATACTTATATATTTAGAACATTATGACAGATCAGTAAAGGCCTGACCACATACTTCACATTTGTAGGGTTTCTCTTCTATATGAATCCGCTTGTGTACAAAAAGTTGTGACGGAATATAGAAAGCTTTGTCACATACTTGACACTTGAAGGGATTCATTCCTGTATGAATGTTCTAGTGTTCAGAAACTTGTGATGCAACACAGAAGTCTTTGACACATACTTGACTCGTGAAGGGTTTCTCTTATGTATGAATTTTTTTGTGTGTATAAAATGCTGATGGGCTTTTGAAGGTTTTGCCACATACTTCACATTTGGAGGGTTTCTCTCCTGTATGGAAACTCCTGTGTGCAGAAAGTCCCGATCGACTCTTGTAGGCTTTGTCACATAATTCACACTTGAAGGGTTTCTCTCCTGTATGAACCCTCTTGTGTACAGAAAGTCCTGATCGACTGTTGTAGGCTTTGTCACATACTTGACACTCGTAGGGTTTCTCTCCTGTATGAACCCGCTTGTGCACAGAAAGTCCTGCTCGACTATTGTAGGCTTTGTCACATAACTCACACTTGTAGGGTTTCTCTCCTATATGAATCCATATGTGAACAGAAAGTCCTGATCGACGACTGTAGGCATTGCCACATACACTACATTTGTAGGGTTTCTCTCCTGTATGAATCCTCTTGTGTACAGACAGGACTGGTTTACTTTTGAAGGCCTTGCCACATACTTCACACTTGAAGGATCTCTCTGATGTATGAATTCTCTTGTGTTCAGAAAGTCGTGATGGTAAATGGAAGGCTTTCCCACATACTTCACACTGGTAGGGTTTGACTCCTGTATGAATTCTCTGGTGTTCAGAAAATTGTGATGGAACACAGAAGGCCTTCCCACAAACTTCACACTTGTAGGGTTTCTCGCCCGTATGATTCCTCTTGTGTAAAGAAAGTTGTGATGAAACAAAGAAAGCCTTGCCACATAAACCACACTGGTAGGGTTTCTCTCCTGTATGAATCCTCTTGTGTGCAGTAAGTTGTGATGGAAAATAGAAGGCTTTGGCACATACCTCACACTGGTAGGGTTTCACTCCTGTATGGATTTTATTGTGTAGAGAGAGTTTTGATGGAAAACAGAAGGCCTTGCCACATACCTCACACTGGTAGGGTTTCTCTCCTGTATGAATCTTACTGTGCAGAGAAAGTTGTGATGGATAATTGAAGGCCTTGCCACATGCGTCACACTTGTAGGGTTTTTCTGCTTTATGAATTCTCATGTGTTCAGAAAGTAGTGATGGAAAACAGAAGGCTTTGCCACATATTTCACACTTGTAGGGTTTCAATTGTATATGAATTCTTTTGTGTAGAGAAAGTCGTGATGGAAAATAGAAGGCCTTCCCGCATACTTCACACTTGTAGGATTTCTGTCCTGTATGAACAATTTTGTGTTTTGAAAGTAAAGATGGAGCACGGAAGGCCTTGCCACACACTTCACAATAGTAGGGCTTCTCTCCTGTATGAATTCTCCTGTGTACACAAAGTAATGATGGAGAACGGAAAGTCTTAGCACATTCTTCACACTTATATGGCTTCTTTTTTAGATTAATTTTCTGGTGGCTAATAGGTTGTGAGTTCCAAGGAAGGGCTTTGTCACATTCTTTGCCAGTAGATTGTTTGTTTCCTGGTGAGTAAAAGTTGAGAAATGAAACCTGAGCAAAATTCTCTATATTTATGTTTATTTTTAAAAACAGAAACATTGGCTCAGACCTGTATTTTTCAATATTAATACCGTTACATTCAATATTCTAAAGATGTATTCAGTGCATCCTAATTAAAACCACCATGATAGGTTGAAATTACATAACTAGAAGTGAAAGACAAAGACAGGACAACATAGAACACAGAAACAAATGAGTATAAACAATGTCAAACATGCAGAGAAGGCATAGCATCCACCATTAAGAAAACCAACTATGATGCTAATTTAAATGAGACACTTAAACACATAGAAATTTTATGTCCAGATGAACACAAAGTATAAATGTAGTCCAAGTTGGAAGACATATAATTTAATAGTTCATAGACATCCTAAATGCTTAGTTTTCCAATGTATGAAAATTTGGCTGAATAAGTAGAAAATTGTGCATTTCAATGTTAAATAATATATTTAAAGGATTGACGACAGGAGGATTTCTGCACATCTCATGTATGAGGACCTACTGATAAAATTATAAAAAAGACATAGTGTTTATGTAGAAATTACAGAGCTTAGTCAGTTACTGTAGACAGAGGCTGATCTAATGGGAGAAGGACAAAGCATAACAGAATCAAAGCTCCAGGAACATCCTCTTCTCACAGGAAACTACAAAAGGAGATCCTTTAAACTGTATGTCCATCAGAACATTGTGAGTTAATGTTGCTGATAAAGTCTCCTTTTCTGCAAATCTCTCACCCTGGCCTCTGTCCCCTCATTCCTACATACCTGTTTCCATGGCAGCTGCTCCTAGTCTCTTCATATCTGAAAGTTCTTGTCTTTGCTCCAGAAATGTGACCAGGTATGGCTTAGAGGAGGTAAAACCTGTTTATGGGAAAAGAGAACATTATTATTAGTGTATTCTCCTGAGGATCACGAGTCCTCTCTAGGACTGTATATATAAGGTAGGAGAGGATAAAATCAATGATTAAAGAGGATTAGTTCTTCATGAATTTCTAGATGGGGCCATGTTTAAAAGGATTTGTAGGTCCTGAGCTCATGTCCCTCAGTTACAAAGAAAGGTATTAAAATCAAAGTGTGTGGTATTCTTTTTAACCTGGATGCTTCCCACTCATGCCCCTTACTTTATAACATTACCCCCAATATAAAGGGTACGTCTAAAAACAAAGGGAAGGTTTTATAAACACGAGAAGAAATAAAATCATTCTAAGGTTTAGGAATACTCTCCTTGATTTCCTTAAAATTTACCCCATAAATTTCATTGTTTGAAGCACAAGCACCCTTGAGATACTGTAGAAAGAAATCCAGTTTGATGCTGACAGTTAATTAAGAGTTCACTATGGAAGAGTCCCTCCCTCATGTGGTAGAATATTACTTCATTGTGTGTTGACTTTGTTCAACCCCTGGAACATTTGACTAACGATGGAAAGATATGTTACATTTGTTTGACTAAATAAAATTCACCTGTGCTCAGGATGTTGCATCAGCAACGAGCTAACTGGAAGAGGTTGGAAGGAGCAAGGTGGAGAAAAGCTTTTAAGTCCGGGTGTGGAAAAAAAAGAGAGCTTTTTCATAGACACGAGTAAGGAGAGGAGGTTAGGTATTTGCTATTCTTCCCCTCAGCGAAGAGGAAGTGCACCTCAGCCTCCAAATCTTGAGTTCTTCAGGAGGACAGTGATTTATACAAGTTCCCTTCATAGCTTTCAAAGAGGCGGGGCATGAGGGAACAGAATTCCCTCAGGCTGCAACTCCTGTGGCACAACCACTGCTGGTATATGCTGGGAATTGTAGTTCCTGATTATGAGTCAGGGCCTAAAAGGCAGCAATGATTTAAAAATAGGACAACCCACCCAGGAACACAAGGTTGCTGAAATTCTCCAACATCACATCCCTGTACAAATTCCACTGATCAGGGTCCAGCAATTCACACTCCTCTGCAGAGAAATCAATGGCCACATCCCTGAAAGACAGCATTTCCTGAAATAAAGAAAATGAATAAATACTATGTATTATACTAATTAAAACAACAACAAAAGCACAAATAACAGGAGGCATATGTATTCTGGATATAAATCTAAAGGTCACCAATAGTGAGAAGAGAGTTGGAAGCCCTTCTGACATAGGGAAAAAATATCCGTAAACAAGTCTGATGTAGTGTTGTGATGTTGACCGAATTCATCATTAAGGACACTGAATGACAGGAGATCCTAGAAACTCCAAGGGATATTTTAGTCATGAGAACCATAAAATCAAGAGTGAGTGTATCATGAAAAGAGGACTGTTCAGGCTGGAGAGATGGTTTAGTAGTAAAAAGCACTAACTGCTCTTCCAAAGACCTGGGATGGATTCTCAGCAGGCAGGATTCTCATGGCTGCTCACAACTGTCTGTAACTCTAGTTCCATAGGATCAGACAACGCCTTAAACAAGGACACTAGCATTACAACCATGCACAACATCAATAAATAAATAATAAAATCTTGAGATAAAATAAGCATCGTGTCCCATGCTACTATCATAATACAGCAAACATAACATATATTTCTAACATTACAGAGCTATGGAGATGGAGAGGGTACTGCTCAGCCCATATGAACAACCACAAACGGTATATACAATGAGGGTGCAGATCTGATCCAGCAAGTCTGGGCTGAGGTTTGGCTTCCTGAGCATGCACTGAGTGATGCAAATGACTGTACGAAGGGACTTGAATGTCTGCCACCAAGAGGCAGAAAACTAAATGAACAATTTGTAGACAAAATGGAATTATGAATATTTTTAACAAATTTCTAATTAGGCAATTTAGCAATAAGTTCAGTGGATTTGGGACTTTTTCAGATGCCCTGATGAAAGGACAAAGGGAATGATGAAGAAGGCACAGCTTGAAAGAAATGACTGATGTTTATTCACTAGGAAGCCTGGAGTGAATGTTGCCTTACACAGTGGAGATCTTCTCCTAGTCTTTGGATCCATCACCTGAATCTTGACAACACCCCAAACCCAAGGGGTTGTCCAGACCTTAATTCTGAGCTTTGTCTCTCAATGAATAAAGCCAACCCTTATGAAAGTGGTCCCATGTAATTTGCATCCTCAGAGAATAAAACCTAAGCTTATGTTTACTACAAATCACTCCTCCTAATACCTTTACTCTGATCTCTGTTCCTCTGTGAATAAGAGCCCACTCTTAGAGTAAAGGTCACAGGTGTCTCACCAAAGTGATGTCCCTTGCAAAGGAGTTCCAGTGGAGATGTGGTTAAAGCTTTGCTGTCACAATGTTGAGATGGAGTCCATTTCCCAAAGTTTAATTGTGTTTTAATTTGTAAGGAAAATAAACTGCTCGGTCAAACTCGAGAAATTTTGAACGAGTGCTAGCTAAAGTGGTATTGGCCCGAGTCTCATTCTTAACTTCATGTGGATACTTTCCGTACCAGCAATAAAGTTTGGAGGAACAAACACAGTGTGGGACTTGGTCCTAGGAGAAGTTAAGGAAGTTTTTCTTTAAGTAGAAATTCGGGCAAACTGACAAAACTCACTTAAATGGTCCATGATCTTTAATGAGAGATTAGAAGAAATACAGGTTCTTCTCAGGACCTTGTGACGGTGTTTATACACTTAGTGAGGGGTGAAATATTCAGAGCAATACCTCTTCTATGTTATTCCCATGAGAACTAATATAACGAGACCCCATGAAGGAGGGTAGAAAAACACTTGTCAATCATTTTTGTAAACAACGAGAAGGAGAGTCAAAGAAAACGTGCAAAGACACACATGTATACAAAATAAACAAGCAAACAAAGAATAACACTTTTCCCTTGCTGGACACATCTTGGGAGGTCACAGCAAGGCTCAATATATCAACTAGTTGCTTAGCTAACAGGCCAGCCATGTTTGTTTAGTCTTCCTAAGCAATTTGATTGAAAGTCAAAGTCCCCTGGCCACATGGCCCTTTTCTCCTACTGGGATAGAGAGAGTGGCCTTTGTAACACCCCAGTTCCTAGAAAGGTTTCGCAGCGCATTGCAAGTACACCATAGGCCAACGTGGCTGCCCCATTGTTTCAATTTTATGGTTGCTGTTATCTTCTGATTTTATTTTATTATTCCTGAATAGCGGCAATAATTCAGTATAGATTAATATTCCATTCATGGGGTTAAATTGAAATGAGGAAAAATTAAAAGTTCTAGTAGCAATACATTAAATTAGGACATAAAACACTGAAGCGGACACTGTTTAAATTCCCTGAGCTACTTGTCCTGCAATATATGGATGACATTCTCTTCTCATGCTCATCTGGAAGATCTATATTTAAATGAGTGCTTAATTTCACAGCAAATCCACTAAAATGGCAAAATTTGTAATTTTCTGAGATTTCAAACAGGTAAATGCTAATCTATCACTACCAATGACTTTGGCTCTGCTCTTTAAGTAGCTTTCTGAAAACTTGGCTACTAAAAACCATAACACCTGAAAGAAAGCAGGTTATTACCTTCTGAAGTCATGTTGTTGGATAGTTTATAGATTCAGTCCCTTATTGGTAAAAACACCACAAAGAAAATGCAGGATGGATATTTGTTCTGTACTAATAATTGGCAGGTTGCAGTATCATCTGACTCAGGATCTATAGTCACAGTGGTGGTTTGAATAGGTATGGCTGCATGAATTCTTGTGTTTGAATGCTTGGCCCATGGGAAGTAGCATTATTAAGAGGTGTGGCATTGTTAGTGTGTCACTGGGGAGTCAGGCTTTCAGGTCTCATACATGCTCAAGCATACATGGCTGCCTAAGGGTCAAGATGTAGACCTCTCAGGTACCTTAGAGATGATTCAATTCTTCCATGTGCTCAGAACTATGTAGTTAAGCTTAGCAAAAATGTAATTCATTTATGAGAACAAGTTTTAGTCTTCCACACATGTTTTCAAATAGAGAAGTAAATACAAAGAAAGTTTGTTTAAATTCAGGCATACTTAATAGATGGTCCTCAAAATCCATAGAGATCCATTGAATATGACATTTAAAATATTTATTAATTGACACAGAGGCCATCTGGATTATACTTCCTGCTCTAACTTTTCCTTCTCAGATCTCTGATGTTGAAGGAAAACTGTAGAGTTATCCACTTAACAGCAACAACAACAAAATAAATGAATAAATACCATGCCTCTTTATTTTGGATTTTTGAGACAGGATTTCTCCATAGCTTTGGAGCATGTCCTGGAACTAGCTCTTGTGGACCAGACTAGCCATGAAGTCAGAGATCTACTCACCTCTGCCTCTCAAGTGCTATGATTAAAGGTGTGCACCACCACAGTCTTGCTAATACTGATGTTCTTTCCTGGCACAAAAATTTAAAATAACAAAGTAATCAGATTTGAGATAGAAATGAAAAAACTAATAAGGTATAAAAGGAATTTATAAAAAAAATTAAAAGTATTTCCTCTGGGCAATATGATGCTTAAGAAATGCAAAGATAATGGCATGCTCTTGAAACTTCCTTAGAGGCCAAAAGGGTTGAACAGAAATTACTAGTTTGGAAGTTAAAATTTCTTCAGATTTTCAACTCTAGTTATTTTTGGTACAGCCTGAGAATCTGTTCCATCAGACAATCTTCAGAATGCAGTAAAAATGAACGCCTGCTGGCTAGTTTTTCCTCCACGGAACACTTATGTATTGAGAGTGTTCACATGTTTTATCATTTACAATAGCAGCTGGACATATATACTTTAATGTTCACTTTAAAAAATATTTTCTGCTTCAAAATTTTCTATTTTTCTCACAATTTCTATGTATCCTGTTTATCTAATAGGAGAGAATGCCTGAGCTTCAAATTTAAATTGTCCTAAATATTAAAGACTTATAAGTGATTAGACTCTGGCAAGGGAGGAGATTAAAGGGGGCGCACAAACACCAACCCTCTAAGAAAGGAATCATTTTCTACAGTATAAAGGCATTTTATTCCAAGCTTCTAGTGCACAACTAGTAATAAAGGGACGTTAGCTTGATGTCTGAAACTATGTCTGTCTATGTACTGAACCTTCTCTGTGGTGAGTTTTGCAGGGATCTGTGATAAAATTCACTATGGTCATGTATAGCATCTATCCCTGACTTCAGCTATGGAACACAGTACAAAGGTTTGGGAGCTCCAGTAAAATAATCGTCAAGTCCTATCTGGAACTTGACTATGTCAAATAACACTAAGCACGCCCTTCCTAGGTCTCTCATTACAACCAAATACTAACACCGCGCAGTAGGGACCAGAAACTCCCCTTTCTTCTCTAGACCAATGAGAATCCTGACTACAGCCATTCAGAGTCAGCTGGTAGCAGCAGGCTTCCCAGGGCGAGCTGGAAAGTGAGCTCCTCGTACAGCCTCGGGGGCCGGCAGCCGACCCGCCCGGTCCGGGAGCGAGATCCCGGGCGGACTGGAGCATCAGGAGACCCAGCACCGACCCCATCGCCCTCTCCCTGGAGCGGACCTAAATCCTGACTGGATGGCGCAGCCTAGGTAGGAACAGCAAATCCAAAGCTTCTTCCTGCTTCCCATGGGCCCCGTGTCCACTCCTTCCACCATGGACCTACCGGCTCCCCCTGCACGATCCCTCAGACCTGCTGGGCTGCCCTGCACCCCGAACCAACCTGAGCTCAGAGATGAAACCCAAGCAGGGTAGTAAAACACTTGAGTCCAAATTGGAGAGGGAAGCGCGGAGGGTGGAAGGAAATGAGAAGGCGACAGTGCGAGCCTTGCTCGTGACGTCATAATGACTGAAACTACATTTCCCATAAGTCCGCGGAATAGAGCTGGCCGGTAGCAAGTGGCCTTGGGAAAGAATCGCCAAAAGCAAGGGTGCTAAAGGGTGACTCCCTGGTAGTCAGGCTGCTTTAAAAATCCTCAGTAAATGGAGGCCTCGCAGCAATATTTATTACATTTACTAGTCATTTTTTTGTTACTTTACTGTGATTTAACACACAGGTCTGATTGTTTTAGAAATTTACTCCAGAGAAAAACATTCATTTTGAGATAATTATAAGAAATTCACACGGAAAAGTCACTGCTAAGCCTTTGAAATGAAATATGAGTAGAGGCCTGGTGGCCATGGTGTCTGCCTCTTATGAGAAGAGGCCCAGGGATCAGGGCTCCAAGGCCACCTCAACTCCAGGGTGAGTTCAAAGCAAGCCTGGGCAACTTAAGAAATGCATGTGTATTCCAGGAGGTGGTGGTGTTTACACTGTTCAAGGCCTTCCTGGTCTACAGCGCGAGTTCTTAAAACACAAGGAATACACAGAGAAACCCGGTGTGTGCGTGCGTGCATGCGTGCGTGTGCGCGTGTGCGAGCGTGTGGGGGGGGGGAGAAGGCAGAAAGGAAGAAGATCAGAGATGGGGGGAAGAAGGCAGAAAGGAAGATCAGACAAAGAAAGAAAGAATTAAAAAAGAAAGAAGCAAAAGAGAAAAGAAGAAAGAAACAAAGAAAGAAACAGAAAGGAAGGAAGAAAGAAAGAAAGAAAGCCTTGCAATGAAATAAAAACAAAAATGAATGGGAGGTAGCTGGTGATGGTGCAGGTTCCTTGAAGCCAGGAGGTCCTGGGTTTAGCACACAGCACTAAAAAGAGCAACACAACAAAATGAAAGAAAGGCTTGTGGAGGCTGGTGAGTGGATGCTGGTGAGTGGAAAGAGCATTCTTCTGCTGCAGTGTTACAGTCTGGGGGAGGGGGGTTCTTGATCTGGCTTGGTTCCTTGTTTTTCTGGCAGATGAAGAGTTAAAAGGGAAAACATCCCAACTGCAACATGTAACTAATGGGAAAATATCAACCAGGGCAGGGAGCATCCACAGGAAAAGAAGGGTTTTCTTAGGGCCGAGGAAACACAAACACAGCAGGGCACACAGGAATCCTCTGCTGAGCTGAGGCACCGTAAGAGCCTGACTTCCGTCTCCCCAGGCAGGGCTTTGGAATGCTTTTGAGGAAACTTCCTCCCTGAGGCCAAGTTGATGAGCATGGTGAAGGTGGTAGTAGGTCCACAACTTTGGGGTAAACATGTCTTCATCCTTTTACGTGTGGGGCTAGACCATCAGCAGGAGGGTACTGCTGGCAGAGGAATAGCCAGCCAGTCTGCTGTTTGAAGCCACCAGGCTTTTGTCTCTTTTCTTTCTCTATGGTATTTACTTGCTTCTTCTTTAAGGGCCTTATCATGTGCATAAAGTTTATTTTAAGGTCTTTTATTTGTGCTTCAACTCTATTCAGGGCCTGTTGTGGTAGGGTTGCTGCTATAGTGGAGACATATTGTCCTGGCTTTTGTTCATTGTGTTTTTGAATTCGCATCTGGGCATCTGGCATTGAGAAGATTGTAATTCTTGGTTCTGACATTGTCTTGTTTTAATTGAGAACATGCTTTGTTTCTTGCTTTCTGTTTTCTCTCTGGCTCTAAGGGATTGGCCAGTAGAAAGAGTGCCTTTGGTCCTGATAGTTGTGGGAACTGGGGGTTCAAAGTAAAATGTGGTTTTGTGCATTGGAACCTGAGACTTAGACACCAGGAAGGGTTGGTAGTGGAGGAGAACCATCTGAAGAGGGAGAAATGCAGGGTGTTTCCCAGGATCTTCATAGTCAGGTTCCAGAGTGGGGACGAGGCTGGGAGATTCCTCTTGGAGGGATGGAGGGAGAAGGAGCAACTGCAGTTGGCCTGTCTCCCAAATCAGAGTGAACTGGTTCCCAGGGAGTGCCTGCTGGAGTTGTGGAGGAATGAGAAAGGAAGTCTGAAGGGAGAGAGCTTAGGAGGGGAAGAACTGGGCACTCCTCTAGAACTGAGGTGGGGGATGGGCTGCAGCAAGTGTTCTGATGCAGAGCTGGGGATGATAATGGAGGAAAGGGCTTGAAGCAGTGAAGGGAGACGTGAATATGTGCAGTTAGTCTGCCTGCTTCGCTGGCTGTAGTGCCATGTGGGTCCCTTAAAGTGCCTGCTGGAGTTGGGGAGTGGGGCAAGGCAGTGAGTACGGTGAGACATGGGTCAGGAGGTCATATCTGTGTAATCCACTGGAGATGGGGGCAGCGAAGAATGGAGCACCTCAGCAGATGGTCTTCTGCAGAGCTAGAGAAGAAACTGGGCTATTGGGTGTGAGGAGCTAAAATAGAGGGGGAATCCGTGAGTATATTTTGTTTATAAATAAAGCCTGCCTATAGATCAGAGGGCAGACCTAGGCACTAGGTAACCATAGAAAACTGGAAGTGATATGGCAGAGAGAGAAATATAAGGCAGGAGGAGACAGGAAGTCATCCCTGTTGAGCTGAGGAGTTTGCAAAGTGAGAGTTAGCTGTAGTTTGCACTTCCACACTCTGATCTCTCAGCATTTGCCCTGATACCTTGCTCCAGGTTTTTATTATTAATACCAATTAGAAAGTGTACAATAATTGGTACTCAACATTTCAGCCTAAATTCATGAAATTAACCAAAAGGAATAAAATCTGACAGATGGATTTTGTAGAATTTAGAGAACTAATATATGTACACCACGCTGTTGATACCTATTCCAGAAATAAATGGGCAGCTGCTTTAAGTTCAGAAAAGACTAATTTGGTAATCACATTGGCTGGAAGTTATGGCCATCGTTGGTACACCTGTATGAATAAAGACTGGCAAGGCTCCAGCACATGTCTCTAGTAAAATGAAACAGGTTTTTGCTTTTTACAAGACAATGCATATTTCCACACAATATTACAGTGCAAGCAGTTATACAAAGATTAAATCAAACTTGAAGGATATGTTAAATAAAGAGAAAGGGATATCAAACAAAGGCCCCCATAAATAGATTGCATAATGCTTTATTAACTTTGAATTTACTAAATGCTAATGACAAAGGAACAACATTTGTGTAGAAACATAGGATAACATGAAAAACCATGGAATTAAATTAGCTGGTATACTTTAAGGATGTGTTGACCTCAGAATGGACATTTGGGAAGAGCTTTTCTTTTCTTTTTTCTACAGGAGAAGAAAAGCTATGGTACCATCACAATTGAACAATAGATACCTCTTAATTAGAAGAGATGATAGTTCATCAAAGAACATGGTCATTTCATCTAAACGAATGTATACAATTAACAAAAAGCTGTTCATTGGTTAGATATAACTTGCCAAAAGGGAACTTCTTTAAAATTAAGATGGGAAAGGGTTTGTTTTTGTGTTTTCTGGAATATGAATATATCCACCTAAGTGATCTGAAGAACATTGTGGACTCAAGTAATAATCATCTCAGTGCTGTGCTTCAAAAAGGAAGGAAGTTCAAGGCAGATACCACTGATGTTCCAATCATGTCAAGTACTACGATCTGAGGATCAAAAGAGAGAAAGGATAATCGGTAAGGAATACAGACCAGAAGAGTACACTCTTCAGTGCGATCCCAGGAGCTCTGCCCCTCCTTTTGGGAGCGGGGCAGAAGCAGAATGATTTGCTCAGGAACACCAGCTGATGACTAAGCCCTCGAGTTTGTAGAAAGACAGGGAGAAGTAGGTTAGATTGCTGTGGTAGCTGTGACACAAAGTTTATATTTGTCACAAATTAATGGGATAAAGCGCGGACAAGGGATGTGCAGAAAGTTCTTCAGACGGATTCTGAAAGTTCACTGCAAGTAAACGTCAGAGATTTGTAGTTTTTACTTTGTTCCATGATTTTAAACATCACCGTGACCATGACCCATGCCCTTCATTACTGCATGGATTCAATGTTCACATGCCAACTGTCAGTGTCAGCAAATGAGAAAAGGGATTACTTATTTCTTTGTATAATTGGGTTTTAAACCAAAACCATCTTTCTTATAGTCAAGTGTTATAGCCCTTACCTGAAGCTAGTCCACCCTGTCCGTACTCACAGGCTGGGTGCTCAGATCACGTGACTGAAACAACCTGATGCCCTGAGTCCCCTTGCTCAAGCCCATTTCCTTCTTCACCAGCAAGCAGTTGGGCAGGAGCTCAGGCATTGTACAAAACACCTTCAGTGGGCTCCAAGAAGTCTTTCACGCTGACTTATGGGAAATGTAGTCTGGATCATGATGACGACACAGGAAAGGGCTGTGGATCCAGAACCTCCATGTTCATTCTTCAAATTTAGCTTTTCCCCAAAGTTAGGTGAGTGTCTTGCTCACCTCTGGACTTGGATCTCTGACATGGAGGTTGGTGCAGGGTTCAGCGCCGTCCTGCAGATCTGAGGAACTGTGCAAGGTGGCGGGTCCGGCGTGGAGGGAGCTAACTTGGGCTACTTAGCAGGGAGGCAGGAGAAGCTCACCTGGAGGTGTGCTGACCTAGGCTGGGCCACTGCACCCTGGTGCGGGTTTGAGAAGAGAAGGCACCACGCCAAAGCCATGTGCTGTGAGTGTCCAGTCTCCTAGGATGCCCCTGCTTTCCGAGTCCGCCCGTGCTTCTGGTGGTTGAGGAGCTGAAGGAAGCTCACTTTCCTGCTTGGGAAAATAATTTGTTAAATGTTTTTTATATTATCCTTGTCCTTCAGGTATGGCAGATAGTTTAGTTATGCGTAGTAGCTTATGTTGGCTGTCATGGTCTTTTAAGACGTGGAATGCATTTCTCCAGTCCCTTCTGCATTCCAAATTTTCCTTTGAGAAATCCACTTTTATCGCTAGGGACATGTGTTTTCACTTGCAGCTTTCTGCTACTGAGCCATCTCTCCAGCGTCTGCAGTACTCTTTTGTAGACTCTCCCTCTCAGAATGGTTCTTAAATGTATAATATCATGGGAGTTCCCAGGATCTTC